ATTGGCCCACTTAGTGTCATAAATTCATGACATTTCAAAGCTGAAAGGAACCCTAGAACCTTAGAATGAATCTTAGAACCTGTGAAGTCTACAACCTTCTTGTCAAGTCCCACCCAGCATGTTACAGCTGAGAAACCTAAGGCGCTGAGAAGACTGGCTCTTCCTGACGCTGAGTGCCTGTCAAGGCCTGAGGCTGGAGCCCAAGCCAGGCATGCAGAAGCGAACAGTGAGGATGATATGGTTTGATGGGTTAATTACGCTCTTCAATCAACAGAATAGGGAAGGAGCCCATCTCAAGATACTAGGGTTAGAGTTTTCAAATTCCACATCAGTCACGTTTAAATAAACAAACTGGCAAGAAAATATACCTGAAGATCAGTGCTCATTTTGATGAACTATTCATAGAAAAGGATGAATTGCATGCTTGGGGCATCCATTTCTCATGTCCATAGATATTGCCTATGAAAGGAGTGCCAGGTAAGAAAGTAAAAACGCCAAACTTTGTTGTCATGGTTTCCTAGTGTCACTGTTTCAGTGTCAAATAATTCGACACCTGTTCAACAGCAGGTATCAGCTTTTTGAGCCAGGTACTATGGGGGAGGGGGCTCCCGAGATGAATCCAACCCAGACCTGCCCTGGGGTCTAACCCTGCTTGCAAAGGAGCTTTCTGTATATGGAGTCAGCCTTCAAGAGAAGTGGTGACAACAACCTCTCCTTACAGTCAGGAGGAGGGACGGGAGAGATAGAGGTTAGAAGCCAAGAAAGGGAAGATGAGAAATGTCACCCTGATGACCTTCATTTCCCAGGGAGGCAGGAAGCAAGGTCACCTGCTAGAGATGAGAGGAAGCAGGCAGAGGAAGAAGCCTGAGCAAAGTGGCAAAATTCTGGACTAGCCATTGCGGAAGAAGTGAAGGAAACTGAGCAAGGACAAATAGAATCATTGCCAAGCAGTGCCAAGGACCTAGATGAAGTGAGAAAACCAGCTATAAGGAGTTATAACGATGCAGATCAGCTCAGCTCTTTATTTCTCCCACAAGGCTCAGCAATCAGCACGTAGAACGGAAAACATGAGTGTGGTTGACATGCTGGGACCCGGATAAAATCAGGAAGAAAAGAGCCAAGAGACAGCTTCTGGACTCTGGAAATGATTAAGTCTGAAAGCAAGCTTATGACAATGAGGGCATTGAAGAAATGAGATGATTGGAAATTTCATAATTCTAGATTTCGGAGGGGAACAATTCTATCATAAGTGACAGGAGGCGGCAGTTAGAAACCACGAGATGGGACTATCAGATGAGTCTTCATCCTGGAGGCTGACATAGTCCAGAATGCCGGGGTGGAGAGGCACATTATGAGCTGAGGCCCCGCATGCTATTTGGATTGAGGGAGAAACTTGGAGGTCAGGGAGTGACCTTGACAAAGAAGGGAATGGCTGGACCACAGGTATCATGCCAGTATTGGTTGAAAATGGCCTGGGAGAATTGTGAACTCTATGCTGAACTTGAGTCTGGGCTATAATTTAACTGTCAAAAAATGAGCAAGCTTCATGAACTAAAATATAATGTAAAGAAAATATGAGGCATAAATCAGACTTTTATTTCATTACTATGTCTAGTTTGGGCTCCATGGCTTACGAAATGCAGATAGGAGTACATTTTTAGAAAATCATAACATTATTAAAAATACATACGATCCTATTGAAAGCTAAAATGAAGAGCCGGGCAAAAGCAGATTAACTGCCTGCTGAGTCCCTGGGCTGGTTGGAAGCAGAGTTGGGCCATGGTCCTTGTCCTGATCCCCAGTGCCTGGCTCTGCGCATGCCAGATTACCCCAGATCCAGTCACAGAAAAAGCTACAACAATTTGAGAATAGAAGTCTGCAGGAAAGCTAAATAATAGAATGCCAATATGTGAAGGGACTTGTGACATCTCTTCCCTGGGGACAAAACAAAAGGATATGGTTTACATCTCAACAGGAGGAATTTTAAATTTAAATACAAAGCACACTTTCTAACCAAAAGATGTGAGATGAGTTACCCAAAGAGGAAGCCAAAACTTCTGCCCCGAAATTGCATTTTTGCTTAGTCCTGTCATTTTCGGAGTCCTAAGAGTTTTCATATTTGGATGAGTGACAGGTCTGAGAATCACTCCAGTCCTGCCCGCCTCTAGGACTCCCTGGCACATCCTTCCTCCTCCTCACATGGCTTCACCCATACGGTCCCCATATGGGCTCAGCCTGGTGCCGCCATTTTATCAGCATCTCCCAGGCTCCCCCATCCTGCCTGTTCTATGTCACAGTGCTGCTTATTTTTCAGAGAATTTATGATTATGTTACAGTCTGAATTTATCCCCCCAAAATTCATATGTTAAAGTCCTAACCCCAAGTTACCAAAGAATGTGACTGTATTTGGAGATTGGGCCTTTTCAGATGTGATTAAGTTAATGAGGCCCTTAGGGCGGGCCCTAATCCAAATATGACTGGTGTCCTTATAAGGAGGGGAAATTTGGACACACAAAGAGACACTAAGGATGTGTGCCCACAGAGGGGGGAAAAGCGAAAGAGAGAGGCCTCAGGAGAAATCAAACTTGCCGACACCTTGATCTTGGAATCCCAGCCTCCAGAACTGTGAGAAAATAAATTTCTATAATTTAAGACACAGCAGCCCTAGCAAACTAATACAGATTACCTATATGCATTATTTTTTGCTTGCTTGTTTATTGTCTTTCCTTCCCACTAGAATATAATCTTCATGAAGGCAAGCCCTTGTGTGTTTTATTCTACATTGTATCTTAAGCACGTAGACCTGTGCCTGGAAAACCACAGGCCCTGAATGAATTAACTGAATAATTAAAGTCCGATTTAAGTAAAGACAATGAGGTCCAGACAGGTCTTAGCCAGCAAAAGGAGGCCTTCTGGACTTTGAACTGAAACTACTGTTTCTAGCAGAATAAAAGAATGGATTTTCCTCTGGTTTCAAATAAAACACTGGAAGAACATGAGGTGATATCAATCAAAGCATTAGAGTGAACCCTGGGGGCCTCACACCAGGAGCTGATGCTAATACCCGCATTTTGAGGACAAATTCCTTCCTTCGAATGAAGACACTGGAACTCAGAATACTTCTTTTGTTTGACAGAATTATCTCATATTAACCAGTCCTCAGAACAAGAGCATAGCATATTTTCCAAGCCTCATAAAAAGGTATAAATGTTGACTACTTATTGATAATTTCTCATAAATTATTCTCATTATTTTTATTAAGCATGAAATGTAATTTTTTCCCAGAGCACTATAACCAAGTCTATGTATTCTACATATATGTTTTTCTGTTTTTTGTTTTAAGTTCTGCTTTATATTATCTGCTGCAAATGGTTTTCTTTAGCAATTTCGTCCAGTTCTTTTTTATCATAATGTAGACAAATGTAGCATCATGTGTTATGACAGAGGGCTCTCTGGCAACCAGGGCCTACCAAGGCTCCTGCAGAGAGAGGTTCAATGATCTCACAGTACACCACACCAATAATGAGATGGGATGTGATTGTCTCTGATTCCTGATTACCAGGGTTTCTGTAACCCCTGCTTACTCAGAAAGGTCACACACACACATACATTTCTATCAAAGAAGGCATAATAAATTAATTACTTAAGAATAAGCAAGAAAATTACTTGTTCTAAAATTACTGTCATTCAGAAAACCTTATCAGGAAGATTACAAAAATACAATGGTCATTTAAAATACAAAATATAGGACTCAAACGCAAGGCACAGTACATCTGTCAGTAAAAGGTTTATGCATACCTGTGAATGTTGAGATGTGTGTCTTCAGGGGTAGACAACCCCCAAAATAAACATCCTTTCCTATTTTGCACATTCTCTAGGTGTACTACCTTCTTGATTATTTTACTGCCAATGTCTTCCAAGATTCGATCCTTGGCCTTCCACTCTTGTCTTTCCTAATTCTCGCTCACTCATACTCTCTCTACTTCTGCTCTCACACTACAGCATGACTCCTAAATCCATGTCTACCTCTTACTTCTCTCTTCCAAAGTTCACTCCCTTATCTCCAATTGCCTACAAGATCTCCATGACAATGCCCCATGGTCACTTAAAGTCCAATACATTTGAACAAGAACATATCACCTTTCCTCGAAAGCCAGTTTCTTTTTCTGGTTGTTTTGTTCTTCTATTCCCTTTACACATAAAAGAAAATTTGAAAACTGTCTACACTCATGAAATCTGATCTGAGAAGCAGATTATAATCATTGTTTTCAACATACTCACCTTCCTCTCAACCATACCAGACTGACGTATTTAAAAACATGGTTCAAAAAAAAAAAAACAAAACACAGCTCCTCGCCGTATTGCCTTTGGGCTATTACCCAACCACACTCTGAAATAACTGCATTCATTATTTTTTCACCATTAATTTATTATCTTCAAGAAACACACAAGAAATGTCAACACTTCGCTCAACAAGCAAAACAATATGACCAGACAACATTAACATCCAAATGATAAAACATACATATACACAAATATGGAGCAGAGATGGAAGGCAGGTTATCTAACATATCACAAAATATCTTGTGGTTATAAGAAAAGAGAGAAAGACTTGATGCTGCATATTAGCCAATAAAAGCCACTGTTTGGTGGCTCCCCTTCAGTTATGCCATCCACAGGTAAAAGAGCATAAATAACCTCATCAGGCCGGGACTGCCATCTCAACCACCATATTTGCCTGTTAACAGTGCAACAGTATCCCCAGATGTAGACACAGACACTTCCCCACACCAGAACATGAAAGAACAGTGAGAAATGAAGAACGCTGGCTGTAGTCTGGTCCATCAGGTGGAGAGCAGATTGACCAAAACTGTGGCGTGTGTGTTAGTTTAGCGATGGGAACTAAATGAAGGTTTGTGAGCACATGTGTGTGACAGAAGCACAACCCTCTTGCGAGATGGTGCTTCAGTGAAGACATGAACCGAATGAGCAAATAGTACCTGTGACGGTTTCATTAAATGGTCCTGGACCCTTAATGGGAAAACCATCAATCTTGATCCATTCACCTCCTAAATTAGGAAAATGCAACTTGATAGTTAGAAAGGAGGGCTATTGGATTTTCCACATTTCAGTGCATCCCTAACGTATATTTAAATGGTCTTTTCAACAGTCTTCAAAGGGATTTGCTCAGGCCATTTAGCTGACTAGGCACCTAAGCTTTATGGACAATACATATTTTGGGTCTTTTGCACATGGTTTATGCTAATAAGCACTCAAAAATTTAGGGCAAAGTGCTAATAACCTACATTAAAATTACTTTAAAAGAAAGGATAAATCTCTCCTAGTTTTCAATCTTTCAGCTTGCTATACAAGTCTAAAAATTCCTTGTTCACAAACTCTTTAATGATTCTAAATTTGTATTGACCTGAAGAAGCAAGAAGGGATGTTTCCCCTAATCTAAGTAACAAAAATACAGTCTCCAATTCTAGATAAGACTTACCAGATGGGCTTTCAGCTCTGTAAACTGGACGGCTCACTCCATTGCGGTTTTCTGCAGTAACCAGCACAAAGTACACTACCCCCGGTTCTGAAATATATGGTTTATATCAAGCCACCGTTTCAAATCTCCAGGAATGACAGTTTGATTCATAAACTGTCTTCCTTATACCAGTTATAACCAAATATGAAAATCTGAATTAAGAGACAAGTCTAACTATAGCTTTCTATTTTTTAAAAATCAAAATCACTAACACTCCTCTCATGCCACTAAAATACACCTGACCAAAAGAACACAGAACTTATTTAGTACAAAGTACATGGCATGTGTAACAAATCTGGATTCATGAGCAGTCAACAAAAAAAGCTTTTTAATGTGAAATCAATGTAGGAAATAGGAATACATTGCCCACTAAATAGGTGTTTTTTTTAACCTATGGTGTCAGTAACTACGAATAATATTTCCCCATAGAAGCTCCAAATGGAAATCTCCAAAAAATAGTAAGAAAATGTCAATGTAATTCATAAAAGCTGGCACATGGGAAATCTTCATTGCAATACGTAAAGCTTCAGGAAATTTTCTACTTTTCACAATAAAATATTCCCCTTACTATGTCTGCACATTGACTTTGACTAATTCGACAAAAATCTAGAAAAATAGTTCCTGGAATCTTGGAAAAGCTTATCTTGAAATAACTGGGCTTCACTTTTTGACTTGTATCTAGGGGTCAAGGTCAAGTAGCAGAGGTCCCTTTGATTGAGCTCCTGAAGTTGTTGGGATAGAGTAAACCAAGACGCCATGTTACAAAGAGAGTTTACCCTGAACTGGCAGCTTTGAAAAGCAAAACTAGTAGTGCTGGTCTTCCTCAAAATGAATTATTATCTTGTGAAAGGTAAGTAAAGGTGCCAACTCCTTGAAGAGATGAAAGTTTGAGGGCATTTCAGGGGACGAAGAGTTGGAGAAGTAAGAGTTAGTTCTGTCAAAGGCAATAATGGTAATTCCATTTCTCAAAGTGAGGAGCATTCCTTTAACAAAACTTCAGTTCTCAAGCCAGAGGCCCAGGAAGAGCGACACAGCCCACACCATCTGGGATGCCCGCTGTGCTCAAGACTGGTATGACTTCTGTCTGACAACGGCAGGGCCTGGTGGGATTTATGGTCTGGCACGACCTGCCGACTAACAGGGAAATGCTCTAGGTTCAGACAGAATGCAAAATCATGCTTGGCCGGGCACTTTCTCTCTTCATTCTGAGCTTATTCATATTTCAAAGAAATTTAATCCACATGTCTCTGATTCCCGCTCAGTTAACTCATCAGAAAGTTGCTTGGGAGACACAATTTGTTTTTCAGTGAGTTCTAGGGCTCTCTTTTTGCATGTTTTTCTTCTCTGCAGTAATCATAACAACCCAAGGTTTCAACAAGCAAATATGACCCTGCTCATGCCTTTGGTCCAACATAATCTCCATTTAACCTCACAGTCAGACTTTGTGGGGCCACACTGCTGTGGAAAAGATTCAGAGAAATGTATATTTACATGGAACATGAGGAAGGGAATCTGGCCCCCTTTATCTCCCTTCTATACGCTTTCTGCTCTCTTACCTAGAAAGCCTAACATTACAATGCAGGAAATGGGAAAGGAATAAGTGTGGTAGACCATGGCAAGGACTCTGAGGAGCCACAAGTTGATTTGGATCCACTAAAGGAAGGCAGCAAAATGGTAACCTGGCACAGGGAGACCTGATTGTCATAGATGCTGACTTCTGTTACTTCCTTATGACCCATCTTAAGGTTGGAACATGAGATGATTGTAGACTAAATGGAGTTTCAGGCTACTGGGATCAAAAAAGCAGAAGATAGAAGATCCCTAGGAAGCAGCTCAAAGCCTAAATTCAAAACCACCTACATCTGTACTTATAAAACAATATATTAGGAAAAATTTTAAATACTCCAAACTTACAGAGTCAAACTTAATGGGGAGAAATGTTACATCATTGAACCAGATGTGGCTAAGTATGACATATCACACACACCTTTACAGGGACATATTATGAGTAATCTCCAATTATAAAATGGTTTATAAATTAGAAATCTCAAGATTAGGCTAAAAAGTTGTCCAGTAGTCAAGCTTCAATGAGACATAAAAAGGACCAACATATTTTCCCAAAGCACATTCAGAAACTAAAAATTGTTTCCTACATCAATTTGGAGAGATATCCAAGAATACTGGAGCTCCACTGCAGAATGGGGAAGCCCAGGGGCAGGATGCAGGCTGTTAAGCAACAGCTTCATGACCTTGGCTACCCATTCCCAAACAACCACTCGGTACCCTAAGCCTGGCCACACTTTGTCTCACAAATAGTCAACCTAAGAATGAAACTGAGAATGTTGGTGTACAGTCAGTGCTGATGGGGAACAAGACCACAGCGTCACTTACCCACATCCTCAATAAGGAAGGAGTGTGTCTCCGCATTCACCTTGATGTATTTAAGACTTTTCAGTGACTTCCCATAGGCAATGTTGTAATACTCCACAGGTCTACTGGTAGCATCTTTGGGTGGGTCCCACATGACTTTCAGGCCCATTTTAGTGGACAGCAGTTTCACGTGCCTTGGCTTCAGTGGGTGGTCAGCTATGCAAACAGCGCAACTATCAACTTACAGGAAGGGCAGGTTGGGAAAATGAATTTTTTTCCATTGTTCTTTGATATTGTTAGCAAAAGAGCAAATGACTTTTAATCTGTCTGATCCCAAAGCCTTTAAGTACAGTCGTGTTCGGACATCTTTACAGTATGACAGCAAAACAAACACACCAAAGCCACAAGCTCTTATGTATCTGGATAACTGTGGTTGATAAATTTAAACCAAAGTGAAACAAATCAAAATAAACTCTAGGCATTCTCTGGCTTGATTATGTTACCTTGCTAGTGCAAGAATAACTTATTAGTAATCTGACATAGTCTCCAAAGGCATTCATGTATTGAACAAGCTGTTAGGATTTTGTGTGGCGCAGTTGGACAATCTTTAAAACACCTCTGAGAAGAATAACATAAAACTCTCATGATCGGGAAGAATATCCATTGTCTCCAAAGTGAGATAACAGAAGCACTCATTTCCACAAAGAAAACAAACCAAGATCATCAACACTTTAAAATGGAGGTAAACCTCTGGTTTATCTGCATATAGCTAATTTAAACATTTCCATATTTTGTCCCAGAAGAAGAAAAATAAGTTATAAAGAAGCACAGTTACATTTTCATCTTCAGTTATGAGGTTCCAAAAAAGTATTCTTGATTTTCAAAAATAACCAAAATGAAACATAACATTTTGTCAAACAAAATCTGTCAGCTCATGATGTAACTAATAATGCATTGTAACACAACATAAATACATGCTAAATATTCACGCAACAGTCAAACACATTTTAGGCAAACTTGGATCTGACACTGATTATTCCATGACGCAAGGCGCTCGCAGGAAAGAGAAAAGTAACCTAAAAAAACCCCAGAAATCTTTAAACTTAGTAACATTAAGAAAAATGAGTTTGGAATCTCATGGAAGAAGAAAAAGGACAATGTTTCGTGATGACATATAGATCGGTTAGTACGTGATTTTAATACTGAATGAAAATTCTGAACAGGATAAGTACAGATGACTCTAACATACATCACTTCTTCCTCCCAAAATTGCCCCACTGCATCTGGAGGAAAATGATTTAGCAAAGGAAAGAACTCCTGCGATTCTGCTTAGAGAAATTCAACAAATGAAAAAAAGAGTATGAAGACAATGACTTTCGAAGCGTTAGAGAAGGAATGCCCAGTTGGAGACAAAAGCGTGATGTCAGACCATGGGCACAGACTGAAATCCACAAAGCCTTTCCTCCTCAGTCTCAGAGGTGAGCCTCCTGTGATCTCGTGATGGGAGAAATCACGGACAAGGAGCCTAAGGCCATCTGGGAAATTGTGAGCTGAGGAGACTATCAAGACAGCAGTGACTTTCTGTACATTTACAACGAGCACTCATGGCTACTTTTCAATAATTCTCATTTGCCCTTCCTCACCTATGAGAAACTTCTCAGAAACTTCTTTGCCAGAGGACTGGAGTTCCCTTCCCTCAGTTGCGTTTATTTCTTCCAAGGCTTCACTACAAAAACCTCTCCTCCTTCTCTGCCGTCTATTTGACTAGCTTTTGCTAACTGCAATCCCTATTTCCCACAACAGCAGAAATCATGCCCAGAATCTGATATTTCACACTGAGCTAAAGGTCGGCGGATACAAAGCAAGGTCTCCAAATGTGCAAAGGGAAGCTCATGGTTGGGCGATTCTCCCAAGGAAGAAAACGAATGAATGAATGAATGAATGAATATGTGAATAATGCTTTTCTTCACAGTTTGATTCCAAAACTCCCTCAAGAAAAGTTCCATCCTGGACAGTCAGTCTGAAATGAGAGCCTGTGAAACCAAAACACCACCCCATTTTCTGCTGGGCACTGTCAATTCAATTAAGACACAGCGGCCTAGGCCTGAAAATGATTTACTGATATCTAAAAAGTGGAACAGCTTATAAACATACTCACTGTTCTTCCCTGCTTTGCCTTGCATCCACCTTGGACGGAGCATAGAATAATTCCTAATTCACATGAGAATCCACGTTCAAATGGTTGCATCAGCCCAGCATAAAGGGAAACACTCAAAACCTTCAAGGAGAGCCAATCAGATGAACAAAGTAAAGAAAGGCAAGGGGCAAGTACCTCTGGTTGCCAAAACCTAACGAATGTCATTGCATTCTGCTTATGCAATCAGTTTCCAAGTGTGGCCATGCATGGGTTTGTTTGTTCTCCTCTTGCCAATGACTGAGTACCATGAAACATGTGTCTCAACTCAGTAATTGCCTGTGCCAGCGTTTGTATGTTAAGGAAAAGGCCATATCATGTATATCTACTCTCAAGTATAAAAAATGGGAGAGTGAAATAGACAGGAAAAGGGGGCTTACAGAGTGCCTACCATCTGCCCACGCTGCTCTAAGTACTTAAACTTACATCACATGATGCTCATAACACACCCAACCTGGGAGGTGTTATTCACTCCCTCCCTATTCCAGATGAGGAAAGCAAGGCCTGGAGCAGAGAGGTTAGGAGAGCTGCCCAGAGTCACACAGCTGCACCAGTACTGGAGGCAAATACAAACCCTGCTTTGTTTAACTCCGAAGCCAGGCTCTTCCCACGGCTCACGGACCCTTAGAATCCATCTCTGCTCATAAATGATCCTTGACCACGTCCATTGAAAACTAATTAATTTAGGAGCCACTACTCTCCTAAGACAATTTATGAGGCCTCCATGGTTGTGTTTACTGCTTCCTCCAGCATCTACACCCCACTCCCATGCCGTTGCCTCTCTGGGGGCCACTTCTGCCCCACCCGCAGTCCCACTTTATCTCCTACTGGCTGTCTTCATCCTCCCACTCTCTGGAAGGAACAAATAAGTGAATGATGTGCTCTCAGGGATATTTGCATTCTGACAACAAAACATTAAACCAGAAGAATGACTTTCCAACAGCGACATTTTCAGCCTTAGAGTTACCTAATGAAGGTCATTTTTGAACACAAAGTTCCTGAAATCATACCTTCAAGGTAGCCTTAGGGTCAATCTCCTCATAAGATCAGTCCTGAATTCAAGGTTCTCCAAAGTCCTTAGGCCAATATACTACAACCTTCTCCTCCCACCTGACCCCCCAACACGCAAATTGGGCCAATTAAACAGAACACTACAGTGACTTGATTAGGAGATATTCTCATCCTCTGGATTCTCATCAACTTTGATATTTAAAACTGCTGTCGTTTTCGATGCTTCATAGTGAACAGCATCCACGCCTCGCTCAGAAAGAATTGGACAAAAAGAACACCAGGATGGCTAAAGGAAAGGCAATCTTGTTTGATATTCCAGCCCCACCCCTGACCCCCCCAGTGTCTGAGCTCTGAGTGAATCCATCAAATCAGCCTCTATCTAAGGAACACCTGCTCCAGGTAGGCACACATCAATGTGTGTGAACGTGGATTCCTTGACAGAAAGCTAGTTCTTGGGGCTAGAAACACACCAGTTTGTTCTATCCCTGATCATCGTTCTGTAGGTCTCATGACTTCATTCCTTAAATGAAAAGTAAAAGCATAAAGAGTATGAAATTCATTTCAGGTTCTACAGACTGTATTCTGGGTCTTGTGTCGTAGGATCAGCATTCTGATAAAGAAGAACTATGACAAAGTGGTTCCTTATTTATTTTTGTGTTCTTAACTTAGGACAGACCATCCTCTGTGCTAGATAAATGAAACATAACCTTTTGTAACAGTTTCAGTATTTTCATCTAATAAAGATGATACTGGGTACATTCTTCAAAGCTACATATCCCATGAACTGCCTCTCTAAAGAGAAAAAGGACAAACCCAAAGTCAATACAACAGGAATTATACAGCCCAATAGACGGAACATTGGGAGGGAAACTCACAGAGCATGCATGCCAGGTTAGGGCCATGACAAGCTGTTTTCTCATCTGCACAGGATGCAAAATGGGCTTTTAAGTTGCAGCCTAAGGGTTTAGTTTAAGCGAAAAGAATTTCCTGTCCGTGTCCTTCCCCATCACTCCCCATTCAAAGCTGTCTTTTGATGGAGACAGATGGTAAGGTGCTCCAGACAGAGAAGAAAGCCAGTAGAGTCTGCTTTGACTCAAAGTCACTTCCATAGCTCATACCAGCAAACTTTATCCAAATTCAAGAGTGATTTGCCAGGTACTAAGTGGCAAAATATTTTGGTGATCTTTCAGATACCTGGCAACAGCCAGGCTAGGCATTTTCATGCCATGGCTCCCACAAGACCTCTATTGGTCTGTCTGGGAATGGAAAATAAGGGCACAGTCAGCACCTGGAGTTGTTACTTTGGTCTAGCTCCAAACTCCAGGTCTTTCTAAGAGAGCCCTAGAAGGCCAAGTTTGGTTCAAGGGTCCAAGTATGGATCCATGTCTGCTCAAGGATAGATACCAAGATTCCAAGGGCTCTGCAATGTCTGTCCTTGGAGGGTCTTCAGCTTCTGCAGAGTGGCCTCAAGGGATTCTCCAGTGCTGACAAACACCATCAGGAAGCCTGGATCCAGAGCCAGGTCCCCAGAGCCAGCCTGGCCTGACCAACATGTGTGCGGCCACTGAGCATCATGGACGAGGGTATAATACCTCACATGCCGCTTCCCCACCTTCCCACTCTGGCATCTCACTTGGCACTGGGTACCAACAACACACTCAGTGCTCACTTAAATGGCTAATAGATTGAAGAAAAAGATGCGAGGAGGGTTTAGACTAATGAGGTCCACCAAGGTCTCCAACCCAAACACTCCAAGGACCAGGAAGATCAAGCAATTATTTGAAGACATTAAGGAGTGTACATTCCATCTAAAGGCACAATTTAGTCTCAGGCACCTATTGACAAAAAGGAATTCAGGCCCCATACTGTCTGATATTCTGGGGGGTTTTCTACAAAGCTATAAATTCTGATTTTTGTGTGAAATCTCCCAATTTTATACCAGTTGGTAATTCAACTTTTAAAAGACACTATGTGAGGAATCACACACACACACATCAGCTGGCCAGACTCAGTCCATCAGTGGCCAGTCGGTGACCTCTACTTTAACTCCAGGAGAAACCCTTCAGTTGTTGATCCAAACAACTTCCCAATGTCCTATTTCAATTCTAAGACTCCTGTGGGAGTCTGGGTTCATGAGGAAGGTCTACAGGTCTAGATGAATGCCCAAG